GGCCACTCTGCCTGGGGCCAGCTTAATGTGATCCCTGAAACTCTGGCTATTACAACTCTGGATATTTGTTGTAATTTGATCAACTCATTTCAAGGTCACTCAAGTCAGAGAGCTAAAAGTGAACTTTGAGATTTGATGTCATATTTTGAAGAAGAGGAAATTTTGGCCCAGGGAAGAGATGGAGCAGAATTGGAAGTAGAATTTTGTTTCCTGAGAGCCTGTTGCCAGCGATATAGGAAGGTTATGGCTACTATGTTGTGGCTTCTGATTATAATAAGATATTTGCATATTTACAAGTTGCAAACTCATGGTTTTCGAACTTGTGCATATAACAAAGCACTCACTGTAGAGGCACATGAGCAATAGAGAAGGGTACAGACTGTGGCACATGGGAGAGGACATGTCCTGGCCAGAAGTACTGAAATTCTAACTTTTCAAAATCTGTTGTGGCTGAAACACAAATTCACTGATAGGGTTGGATCTTAGGTCATCAATTCGTCTTTCCTCTCTTAAAGCCATATCACCACAGGTATACGGATAGCTAAATTAATTTACCCACCCTTTGCTAATTCCAGATTGTGACAGGACATTCTTTCTCAGTATTTTGTTTTTGCTCTTTTTTTCTTTTTATTATGGTTAGTCAGGGTGCTTCTCTTCAAGGGTTATTGGCTCACTTTATGCATATTTCATCCTCTAAAAGTCACATGGATTTTAAAAACATGAAGCGTGATCACCGGGATGACAGTGCTCCCTTTGTATTACACTCATCATTCTTTGTTATTTTTAGATACTTCAGAAAGAGGTCTAATGTCTGTGCAGGAAGCAGGAGAGGATAGCATGCTATTCCAAGTTGCAGAGCTTGAGAACTCTCAGGGAATTACTCCCTTTTATTTCTTGGCTCACATTGAATACTCATGAAAAGAAGAATCATGGAATATTAGAGCTAGCAGAGACCTTGTAGATACAAAGATGAACTAGGTTACCAAAGAAATAATATACTCATGGTCACACAGCCAGGTAGTGGTAGGACTGAGAGTAGAACTCCAGTTTCCTGATTATTGTGCATTGACCCCTATGAAGGCCATAAGCCAGAGGAACCAGAAATACTAGTGCCAAGGTAGGCCATAGACTATGGCAAATATTCGACCCATTTTCTTGGCCTAATTTGGCACCTCTGGTTGGCTTATGTCATACGATCTCCAAAAATATCTAAAGCCTGAGGTCTGAATATAAGGACCACAAGAAAGATTGGAAGTCCTCAATTAGGCATCAACTAAGTTATCCTTCAAAGACCTGATTGAATATCACCTCCTCTAAGAAGACTCCTCTAATCACTTCACCCAGAAACGATTGCACCCTCTTTTCTGACTCCATGGGACTCTGATTTGGACATCTGTCATGATCCTTTTCCCAGCCTTCCATAGAACTAAAGTGGTCATGTCTAATTTTACCTCCCAGTTGAATGTGAAATCTCTGGAGTTAGGGGCTACGGTAGTCTCTGCATATTCTCTCCTCCTTTTCCTCAGTGCTGTTTCTTGAACTCACTGGCAGTAGAATTTTTGAAAAAAGAAATGAATTTTTTTAGATTTCCTGGCAAAGATTGGTCACCAAATGTATCAGAGCATTTCAACTAGACACACATTTGCTGAGCACTTCCTGTGTGTCTGGCATCACTTGGGTGGGCACAGTTGAACACAGCATTGAATCAGGTGGGCTTGCCCTCAACTAATTGAGCCAGAGTGACAGATCGGAAAGCCAAGAATGATAATATATGTACAAATAAAATATGGGCTACACTGAGGTAGAAGTAATATGTCAAGGGAACAATTATTTCTATCTGAGGAAGCCTTTGTGGGAGAGGTACCATGGGAATTGGACCTCAAAATGTAGGACATATTTCATTAGCAAATCATGGGGAACTTACAACTTTTTCCATGAAATAAGGAAGAATGTCTCATAGCAGTATAGAACAAATGTCTAGAGATGGTCAAGTACAGAGACTATCCATGATGAGTGGTCCAACTTGGCCTGAAATTAGTGTGGGTGAAGAATTTAGTGATAGCTGAAGCTAGTAAGATAGTTTGGAACCACATCATAGAGAGACTTAAATGCCAGGTTCAGAAGAATGAGAAATGCCATCCTCCCAAGCATGCTCTGAGGTGAGTAGTTTAAACCGTGTCCTCTTCCTGCTGCTCTGCTGGAGGTGTCAGCAGCTTCCTGGGAGCATTGCTAACTCTAGATCATGACCCTGGCTTATGTGAGACCCAGCATTCCGATGCACAAGGCAGGCAAGTCAAGGAGCTTTTTTGTAGTGCTGCTTTCATTTGCATTTCAGCCAGAATTAGGCAGTGCTGGTGTCTTGTTCTTGTGTTTGCATGTAAGATAAGGAAATAATCATGGAAGAATCTTTGAACTCCCAATCCCAAACATATTTCCCTGCGTTTGGTCCTGTAAAATGTTCCTGAAAATGTTCTTGTGGTGGATAGGAGGGTTGGAGGCCTTACTTACTTTTGGAAACATACACGCTTTGTGCAGAAGAGCACTGCTACCATCTGAGGGAGAAAGAGGGAAGAACTTGGCCTTAATAGAGGGACCATTTGTTGAGATTATGACCTCCTATCTCCTGGGGCTAAGATGGTGTTGATTACAGCCTGGTTTCTGGAGAAACCGGCATTTGTTTTTCTTATGCTTCCCCTTAATTTTCATGACGTTTTGTACCAAAACTAGAATTCCTCTTTGTTATTAGCAGGCGAGGTAACTCTTAGAGTCTTTTATCTTGTTTTCTACAAAGGTTAAAGCAAAGCTTTTGCTTAATAAGTACTCCCTTTTTCTTGACTCACTAAGTGTTTCCACATCCTTTGTGTCTCCTTCTGCCTTTTTTCTGGATTGTTCCTGGCATGTAATCAGTGTCTAAGGAACAATGCTTGAATGAGTGAGTGGAACCACTCGGACAGGGATCTTTGTCTTTTTGTTTTATTTCCCGTGAGAAAGCTATAATGTGCTATTTCTGTTCAATCATGTATATTTCCAGGGAGAAGGTAGAATCAAACCTGATATTTCTGGGCTTGCTGATCTTGGAGAATCGATTGAAGGAAGAGACTAAACCTGTCTTGGAAGAGCTCATCTCAGCCCGGATAAGGACTGTAATGATCACAGGTATAGAACAAAGTGTGTAGTGAAACAGTAAGAATTTGATGTGGAAATAGGGACTCACTTTCTTAACAACCTACTATGACACCTTTTTAGGTGCAGGAGGTGTGCAAAGAAAGAAAAAAAAAGGCAAAACTATTGTTTTCCCCAAGCTTCCATTTCAGTGGCATGATAGAAAATCAATCGGTCAAATAGTATTTTGAGGTACACAAAATAGGATGATGTGGTCAAGCATATCCGACCATCTACTTTAGATGAGGTGGTTAAGAGAGGCCTCTCTGAGAGGTGACATTTGAAATAAAACCTGAATGACAAGAAGGTATCATCATCAGGCAAAGATGATGATTTTTATTACCAAATACTAAGAAAAATGCTCAGTCAATGTGGTCTATAAACTACACTGAAGGCCCATCAGTAATAAAATCTACGATCCTAGAGATAAAAAAAATATGCCATTCTCTCTACTCCTAACCCTAAAGCCCAAATCATGTAATACAAACAGGAGAGCAAGAGAAATGTGTGAAATTTCTTAATGAAATTAAGTATGTATTTCTTAATTGAATTTGACACTGATGCTATAATTTTTTAGTTGCAGAAGAGACTAGAGGTGAGTAAATGACTTCCTGATGCATTCATACTCATATTTTTTGAGTGTGTGCTGCCTTTCTTTTCTCTGCTCTCATAGATGCTTTTAACTCTATTATTTTTGGCACTAAGACAGATTATTTCCACATCAAAGCCGTTACTCCCCGCCCCCGCCCCCTGACCCCCATTCTACAGTTGGAACCTAGAATACTTTTACTTCTGTATTTCTCCACCCCTGCATTCCAGACCCCACAATCCCAGAGACTTTTAGATTACTTTTACTCTATCCCTTTACAGTCAGATCTCTCAATCTGATTTTTAGGTGTTGCTGAGTTAGTTTACTACATATTAGGATTTCTCTCACACTATGAACCTTCTGTTTTAAACATCTTTTTTAGCACTTATATTACACATTCTCATAATCTATCCCTAACCATGCAGAGTAACAAACAAGAATTCATCATTCTCCACCCTTCCTCTTCACTTCTCTCTCCTCATTTTGAAAATTCTGTTCTTTCTTTCCTTGCTTGTTTCGTTTCTTTTCTCAAGTATTGTCCACGGATGGTATGGAGGGGTAATATGCTGTCTGATTTCTTACATATCCTGGAAGATCTTTCTTTGCCCTGACAGGTGAATAATATCTTGTCCTGATATAAGATTCTTGAGCCGTAGTTCTTTTTTCATAGCTGTCAGTTTGTAGGTGCAATTCCTTTGCCTTCTGGCTCCTGGCATGGCACGTTGCAAGTCCAATGCCAGTCCTTTGTAGGTGACACATAATCTTTTAAATTTAACTTTGGAGTTTAGAAATGTTTGCCTATATATTTGTCTTTTTTCATTACTTTATTCTGGACCATAGAGAGCATTTTAATCTGTCTTCCTCTCAGAAAATTTCCCCTATTGTTTGTTTAATTATTGCCTTTGTTCTCCGTCTTTCCTTTTTTACTTCTGGAATTTCTATTATTCACATGACAGTTCTCCTTGGATTTATCCTCTCAGTCTCTTTTTTTCTTGTGATTGTCACCTTTTTATAATTTTGCTTTGTACTTGAAGGTTTTTCATTTGCACCCAGTTTTTCCAAACCACAATCTCAGATCCCAGCAACGTTATCTCCTTCAAATCCCCTATTGAACTGTTAAGTTCTTAAATCATGTTTTGAGGTGTGAGTGGCTCTAGAAAATTTTGTTTGCTGGTGTTTTGGTGCTGCATTTGCATTTTCTTAGGGGCTCTTATTTTTAATGCAAGTTTCATCTGTCCAGCAGCTTTTCATTTCACCAGTCATGAGGTCTGATTGCTCTGCCTGATCTTTTCCTGTCCAGCTTCTGGGATTTCTTAGATAGACTGTTGTATTTCTCTGTCAGATGATTGAAGCTCAGGCCTGGGCTGTTTGTCCTCAACAGCAGATCTCGTACAGGTGGGAGATGGCAAAATGTGCCTGTGTTGCAAAGCAGACAGGCTGCTGGTGCCCAGCTCAGGCATGGGGAGAAGCCTCTTCCCTTTCAGGGCTCCCTAGATTGTTCCGACCTCAGGTAGAGCAGCTCCTTCCCACCAGCTCGTCTTTGTTGAGGGTCCTCCTAAGTATTTTGGTAGAAACCTGGGAGAAGCTATGTTAGGGATAGCCAGCCAGATGTTATATTATCTATTTTTTAGTGGTTGCTTTAGGAATTACGATATATGTACCTACCCTTTCAAGAAGACTTACAACCAGAAATGTCTCTTGCCTTCTCTTCTTTATGTTTTTGCTGTCGTGAGTACAGCATACATTAACCCCCCTCCCCAAATAATGGTATAGTCTTTACTTTCACCAGTTAAGAGTTATATAACATAAGTGAAGAAAACTGGACTTTTTATTTACTCAGATCTTTATCATTTTTGTTGCTATGTTTTTGTTCCTTAAGTTACAAGTTAACCTCTGGTATCATTTCCTTTCAACTAAAGAACTTCCTTTAGCATTTCTTTTTGAGTATGTGCTCTAATGACAAATTATCTTAGTTTTTCTTCATCTGAGCATGTCTTTATTTCTCTTTCATTCCTAAAAGATATTTTCACTAGCTAGTGGAGTCAGAGTTGACAGTTCTTTTTTTTTTTTTTGAGACAGAGTCTCACTCTCTTGCCTGGGCTAGAGTGCCGTGGCATCAGCGTAGCTCAGAGCAACCTCAAACTCCTGGGCTCAAGGGATCCTCCTGCCTCAGCCTCCCGGGTAGCTGGGAGTACAGGCACGCACCCTATGCCTGGCTAATTTTTTCTAGTTTAGTTTTCTGGCTAATTTCTTTCTATTTATAGTAGAGACGGGGTCTTGTTCTTGTTCAGGCTGATCTTGAACTGCTGAGCTCAAGCAATCCTCCGCCTTGGTCTCCCAGAGTGCTAGGATTACAGGCATGAGCCACCATGCCCGGCCTGACAGTTCTTTTCTTTTAGCGTTTTAAAGATGTTGTTCTACTGTAGTCTTGCCTCCACATTTTTTGAAGAGAAATCTGTGATAATTTGAATCATTTTTCCCTCATATGTAATATGATTTTATCTAACTGCTTTTTTTCTTTATCTTTGATTTTTACTATTTGATTATTATGTGTCTGGATAAGATTCTCACTGAGTTCATCCTGTATGGGGTTCACTGAGCTTCTTGACTCTATACATTTAAGTCTTTTATCATATTGGGGAAAATTTTTGCTATTATTTCTTCAAATATTTTTTTTCTGTTCCAATCTCTTTTTCCTCTGCTTCTTGGACTCTAATGACATGAATGAGTCCTTTTGATATCCTTGAGTCTGTTCATTTTTAAAAAATGTTCTCTTTGTTCTTCAGGTTGTGTAATTTCTATTTATCTACCTTTAAGTTCAGTGATTCTTTCTTCTGTCATCTCTATTCTGGTATTGAGTACATCCAGTGTTTTTTTTTTTTTTAATTTCGGGTATTATATTTTTCAAGTCTAAAGTATCCATTTGGTTCTTTTTTACAGTTTATATTTTTCATTTATCTTTCCATTTATTTAAAGAGAATTAACATTTACCACATTAAGTAGGCTTATAATAGCTGCTTTAAAACCATTATCTGATAATTCCAACATCTGGGTCACCTAGGGATTGGCAACAATTGTTCCCCCACCCTTGGGAATTGGCCAGATTTTTCATATGTTTAGTATCCTAAACATTTTGATTATTATGTTGTAAGACTTTGGATTTTGTTAAAATCTTCTGGAGAATACTGAACTTTTTGTTTTGGCGAGCAGTCAACCCAAAGTTCTGTCTCGCCTGTTGTAGGTGATGGCTCCAATATTAGTTTAGATATTAAGTCTTTTGCTATGATGTCTGGGTCTGCCCCACTTGGGGGTTACTCTTACAAATGGGAGGTGATTTATATCATTGTTCAATTCTTCAAGCTTTGCTTATCTTTCTTTGCATCTGCTCCACACATGCTCTGGGTTGAGCCCAGGAGGTATATAATTCATACACTTGTCTAGCTCTCTCCTTTCCCCGATTTTGCCTCATACACTCCAGCCTACAAGGACCCTTTTTCCTGGTTCCTTTGGAAGAAATCCCAAAGACTGCGTTTCTCTTGGAGTTTTAGCTGCCTGAATTGCTCTAGGACTGAGGCCCACACTTAGGTCAAACATATGAAAGGAAAGAGAAAAAAAAGGTGAGAAACTCATCCCCTCTTAAGTTGCTTCTCCAAATGTGACTCCCTTCCACACTCTGCCTGCTTTTGTTTACTTTTCAAAGTCTTTGGGTAGTTGCTTTTTGTTTTTTGTTCAGCATTTTCCATTGTAATCAGTGGGAAAGAGAGAGTGTGGTGGGCTTATTCCATCTTGACTAGAAGTGGAACAGCCAGATACAATATTAAACCAGTAGAGTTTTCCTAAACACTTGTAAAGCTGCTAACAAATGACAGAAATACATTTGAATTTTGCTTTTTTATTTTTTTGTGCCAAGTTTCTGGCAAAAATACACAAATAGGTCATGAAGTACCCTGATGAAAAACAGCAAGAATGAGAAAAGGGATCATGGAATCACAGAAGGTTGGGGCTGAAAAAGACCGTAGAGATTATTTCTTTTCACAACTAAATTAAGGACTGAACTCTTTACCTTGGTTTTCCAGGCTCTGCATGAGTTGGTTCCATCTCTTCAACCTCATCTTGGGATACTCTTTCTTTCTTCTAGGTGACAATCTTCAGACTGCAATAACAGTGGCCAGAAAATCTGGGATGATTTCTGAAAGTCAGAAAGTCATTCTCATTGAGGCAAATGAAACCACTGGGTCCTCATCAGCATCTATATCTTGGAAATTAGTAGAAGAGAAGAAACACATCACATACGGGAGTCAGGTACACCTGAAAACAGACCTTTTACCGTATCACTTAACTTGTCTCACAGCATTGGTGACTGAGCAGCTTTGACCTAGATTTAACACACTTCCCAAATGTCTAACACCCATGCGGTTCAATGAACTCAATTTTATCAGTTTCCCATACTGTTCCTACTGCACTTTAAAGTACAGTGCTCTTCTGGGTGCTGGAAACAATCCATTCTTTTCAACTTAAAAATTTTTTTGGCACTGTATGAGAAAGAATATAGTAAGTGGAGTTGTGAATCTAATTTCTCATTTTCCCCTTGCTTGTCAGCCACCCCATTGGGTTCAAAGGGGATTTAGTCCCTGGCAGAGATACCACTGTGTGCATCAGAAAATCAGACTATGTCTTCAGGGAGGGAAAAAGAAAAGTTTTATTCATTTACCTCCAGTCTTGTCAGTGTTCCATCTCCACTGTGTCCTTGTAGAGCAATATTAATTCTGTAAGAAAAAAATAGTAAGTTCTCACCTCGGGGAGAGATTTGTTAAGCTGCAGTGCTTTTGTATTTTGCACTTGAAATGTGTGAAACGTGCTCTTCTCTGGGACTCGCCAAGATCAAATCAGGATGAAAACAGGACATGAGCAAGTGCTATTCTCCTACTCACTAGTGGCCGTGATGTGCAAAGATTGATCCTGCAAAAAGAAAGTGCTTCTCTAAGGAATCAGAGTTGGAGTGTGACTTTCAAAGAGAGATTCTGGTCTGTCTTCATTACCTTCTCTCAGATATGCTTGTGGTCCTAACCACTCTATCAAGTGGAAGAGTCTAAAATAACTGTCTTTCTTTGCAGGACAATTATATTAACATAGGGGAAGAAGTCTCTGATAGTGGCAGAGAAAGAAGTTACCATTTTGCCCTAAGTGGAAAATCCTTTCACGTTATAAGTCAGCATTTCAGCAGCCTACTGCCAAAGGTAAGTTCTAAGAGGCAAACAATTTCTCTGTGAAGATGCTGCTGATGTCACTTACGGAGCATGCTCCTAAATTATTTTGAACCTCTAAGTAAGTAATATATACTTACTTACTTAGATTCTATGTATATTGTTGTCTCATTTCCTACTAGATTTGAAATAAATAAACTCAATTAGTCAGTTTTCCACCATTTATAGGATTGAAGTGTTAGTGATTTCTCAAATTATAAAGATTAATTTTGGGAGGCTGTCACTATATTGCCATGATTAAGGATCTCACAGTAAAGTGGAAATCCTGCAATTATACAGGAAACTAGGCCAAGAATAAAGGAACTTTATTAGGTTTTTGGTAGATGACCTCTGTACTGAAGAGGTTCTGATGAAGAGCAAAGACACAGTGGGGGCAGGTATATCATATATATGTATATGTATATGTACATATGTATACACACACACAGTCATTCTTCAGTATCCATGGAAGATTGGTACCAGGACCCCCCCATGAATACCAAAATCTATGGATGCTCAAATCCCTTACATAAAATGGCATAGCATTTGCATATAACCTGTGCATATCCTTCTATATACATTAAATAATCTCTAGGTTACTTATAATATCTATTACAATGTAAATTCTATGCAAATAGATGTTATACTGTATAGTTTAGGGAATAATGACAAGAAGAAAAAGTCTTTGCATACAGACACAACCATTCATTTTGTTCTTCAAATATTTTTGATCCATGATTGGTTTAATCCATGGATGTGAAACCCACAGATACAGAGGGCCAAATGTGAACAAACATATGAAATGTGAATAAGCTAGAGAAAGATGGGTCCGATGTGACCCAAAGAGAAACTATTTATGCTCAGTTGGTCATCGTCTTAGGTACCGTTTAAGAAAACAAAATACAGACTTTGAGACTGAGGAAACACTAAACTGAGGTTACTGCAAAGAAGAGCAGGGGACACAGGGAACTGACATAGAATTTAAGACTCTGTAGAAGCTCAAATTAGGTTTGGGATATCAGCTGAGCCTCATAATTGGTCAAATCCAGATGTTATGGTTAAGTCAAAGACCATAAATAGTCACTATTTTGCCATCAGGCTGTTTTTCTGCCGGTTCTGAACAATTTTCTGAGAAGTAATTGCTTCTTTTTCTTCTCCCGGGATCCTGACCTCTTATTATTTTGCAATTTCTCACACTCCACTGGTTCAAGGTTCCATTAAGATCAGGATTTTTCAGAACCACATTCCCTATGGCAGCTGGGCTAAATTCCTGTAGGTCATCATTTTCATAAAATATTTTTGTTAAGCAGTCATCTTTACTGATTTTTAGTTTCCACTGGTCACTTATCTGATGACTAACATCTCAATGTCTGTCTTAAAATCCAAAGGAAGGCCCATTAGAAACAATTTCTTTTTTCATCCATGGGTGTCCTTACTCAGTCAATATTTTGAGTATTGTAAATTATTTCGTGTACGACTAGCTGACATTACAAAAAATTTCCTCTTTGGGTTTCTTACAGGTACTGATCAATGGGACTATCTTTGCAAGAATGTCTCCTGGGCAGAAATCCAGTCTGGTGGAAGAATTTCAGAAACTGGAGTAGGTTCTTTGCCAATTCAGGTGGCACGAGCTACGTGGGGGCATCCTGGGGGGAGAGTGAGAGGTACAGGGAGTCACTCGGTTGGGCTGGGGCAGTGGTTCTTACCCTGACTGTACATGACAATCACCTGGGGAGCTTTGAAAATATATCAGGACCCCATCATCCAGAGATTCTGATTCAATTGTTAATATGGGGCTTGGAAACCAGTATTTTTTCCAATGCTCCTCACATAAGTTAATTTCGCATCCAATATTTAGAACCAGTGGACTAGAACATAAGGGATGTGAAAGGGTATGGGGAGAAATAAGGCTGGAAAGGTGGTTTGAGCTCAGCTCTTGAGGGTATAATGAGAATTTAGACTTTATTTTTATAAGCTATCATCACAGTTATGATGTAGGGAGATTCATATGACAAGAGATTCATATAACCATAAAAATATTTACATATTCTCATGTCAAAACATTCTTTCCATCCTAAATCAGAAAAATACTTCTCTTCTAACACAAAGGGTCTCCATTCTGAGGCAGAATAAGCAGTCCAAATAAAGTGCCCGTCATCTGGCAACCTTTATTTCCTGTTAACAGAACCCCATGGAGTACTGGAGGCTTCCTCCACTTCTGGCCGCATCCACATGACTCCTGCTCCTACTCACTCCTACTCTGTCCTCCTACTCATTTGATTCAGTTATAGGGCAAGTGTCTCGATTCAGAAGGCCCTGTCTTCTCAACATATTTGAAAACCTGGAGAGTAAACTAGTTACCTACACATAGCAGTGTGGGAGAAAAGTGCAACATGGTCTGTGAATTCTGTCAGAGTGCTCATACTTTAAAAAGCTGGTTATTCGTAATCTTTGTCAAGCATTCAAGAGAGAAGTATTCACTCAGCCTCAAAAAGCCATCCTGAAGCAGAGATGTATTTTCTTTCTCCAACTTCTGGGCTTGGCATTGCATTTTTGAGTTGAGTGACTACTGACTGGGTGGATTTCCTTTTGTGTTAATATTAGCAGCACCAAAAACTATCACTTACCATTTTCTACTTTGTAAGGCATGTTGCCATACAGCGCCTCATTTAATACTCATGACAGTTTGTTGGGGGAAAATAATAGTCAAAAGACCAGCTCCAAATCTAGATCTTCTGGTTTCAAATCCTGTGCCCTCTACAGTGTGCATGCCCACATCATATAATTGTGAACAACTGTTTTACAGCTGAGAAAGCTGCTTCCTAAGTAAGGAAGTGCAGTGTTTATGTGGAACACATGGAGTCACGAATGATGTGCTGTATTTCTAAATCTATTGTATACACTGCTGAGTCACACTTTACTTTCAGTGAAACCAGACTCTTAGGGATATTCTCTTAAAATAAATGATGAGTTTGAACCCTATGTAATGATGGTCACTTCATTTTTTTAATTAGGAAATTAGCGGGTAAGATAGCTTTGATCTCCTCCACAATTGACATGGTTCCCTTGCAGTTACTTTGTAGGTATGTGCGGCGATGGAGCGAACGACTGTGGGGTATGTAGCTGCCAGTGTGTGTGGCCATAATCTCACACTCGGTTCTACTTGTCTGGAGCCCTTTAGAGATAGCACCTCCTGGGATGCTGACATTTCCATTCCTCTTGATGGATAAACTGATGCTGAGGGTTTGGGAGGTTTTTGACCAAAGGCACACAATGACTGAACAGTCAGTACAGGCTAAATTGGTTAGAATTTGGTTTTGGAGTTCCCACTGCTCTGGCTAGGTGTCCTAATGCCATCTTGTCCTTATGTGGGCAGGCAGGGTCAAGTCTGGTCATCTCCCAGTTAGCATTTGGGCCCACGAGCCGCCTTGTGGCCAGCTTAACTGGCCTTTTCTTATGAAGTCTCAGTAGAGATGTATGTGAGTCTACATGGAAAGTAAACTGACTCTTTGCTTTCAGGCTTTGAAAATGGCTCATGTGGGCATCTCTTTATCAGAGCAGGAGGCATCTGTGGCTTCACCTTTCACTTCCAAAACTCCAAACATTGAGTGCGTACCACATCTTATCAAGTAAGTGGCATATCCTAAAGCACTGTTTCTCTCTCTCTCAACTTTTAGGTATAGATTACATTGCTCTGCCCAGGAAAGATCAGGGAAATTTTGTGTCCCTCGGTGGGGAGGGTGCTTTGTGGAAAAATGCAGTCAAATGTTCTACTACCAAATGGATTTACCAGGAGTTAAAAATAACTTTGGGAGAGTAGTGGCATTTCCAATGAATGAATTTACTGATTAGGTTATTTTTAGAAGATTGAAATCTGGAACTTGTTACTGCTTGAAAGTGTCAGTCACCCTCTTATTTTTCAAATGTATTTCTTTAGATGCTTTATACTGGGGGATTCAGAGAGGTCCACTTGCCTTCCTTCCCTCTTGTCTCTCTGTGCTTCCATGGTTACCCTTCCCATTCCCAGTTTTCAAAATCTTTATTTATTTATTTATTTTTTGAGACAGAATCTCGCTCTGCTGCCCAGGCTAGAGTGCCATGGCATCAGCCTAGCTCACAGCAATCTCAAACTCCTGGGCTTAAGCAATCCTTCTGCCTCAGCCTCTTGAGTAGCTGGGACTACAGGCATGTGCCACCATGCCCGGCTAATTTTTCTATATATTTTTAGTTGTCCGATTAATTTCTTTCTATTTTTAGTAGAGACAGGGTCTCTCTCTTGCTCAGGCTGGTCTCGAACTCCTGAACTCAAATGATCCTCCCGCCTTGGGCTCCCAGAGTGCTAGGATTACAGGCGTGAGCCACTGCACCTGGCCTCAAAATCTTTACTGATCATTGGTGCTCCCACTAAAATTTGCCTTGGTATTTTATTTTTCCCCCCAAAATATATGTTTCTGCTGCATTTTATTTGAATGATAGAGGTAGTTAGCATTGTGATTGCTCTTGGTTATTATAACTAGCATGTGTTTGCAGTCTGAAAGTGCTTTAATGCCTATTATCTTATACTTTAAGACAGCTAGGACATGTAGGAATGGTTATTATTTCTTTTAAAAATAAAGAAATTAAGCTCAGAGAATTTAACTAATGTGCCCAAACTCACATAGCCATGTAAGGTTGGAGATTATTTTAGAATTGATTTTGTTTAAATGTGTTTAATGGACAAATATCATACTCTTTCCACATTAAAACAATGATTTGACTGGCTCCTCCCATTTTTTTTATTCCTGCATTTGACAAATATTTGTTGAGCAGGCACTTAATGCCAGAAACTAAGGAAGATAAGTAAAGACAATACTTACAGATTTTGATAGGTACCGTCAAAGAAATAAGTAGGGTGATGTGAAAGGTAGTAAGATAGTTGGAAAGGTGGAATTGGATGCTTCAGATGGGGTGGTATGCTCTCTAAGGAGCTGAGGAAGGAGCAGAAACTACCTTCTGGGCAGAGCAAATGGCAGTGGTAAAACCCTGATACAGAAAAGAACCTGATTTGAAGATCAGGTTCAGAACCCTAGGAAATCATTAAACTTAGTTTAAACTTAAACTTAAAAAAAAAGGTGAAAAAAGTATAATTTAAATTTAGAAGTATAATTTAAACCCATTTTTACCCAATAGAAATAGATAAAAGTGACATTTCATATCTCATCCATTTTATGCTTTAAATACATACTATTTACTCAAAGTCAATCAACAGTAACACTAATGAACATGCTCATCACTTCCAGTCTATTTACATTTGATATATGACTAATTTGAGTGTGCGTATTGTTTTAGTCCAGATTTAGAAAAAGTTGAAACTGCCAAAATGAAATTTGAACCAAACGTGTGCCAAACTCCTAAAACACCTGCAAGAAAATAACCCCCAAACCCACGATCTTATTTAAATCCCTTAGTTCATAGATGAAGAAACTGAGACAAGGGAAATGACCCTCCAATCACATTAGTGAGTAGGAATAAGACCTGGGACTAGCTGCCATGTGCCCTGACTCTGAGTTCAGGGGCTGAAACGGTGCTCGCAGAAAGGACAGGAGTAGCTGTGAATCTGGGCTCCGTTGCCAGATCAAGGCTGTGGACCTAGGCCTGGAATTGGTGTTTCCTGAAAATCTAGCCCTTCAGCACACTCACGGCCGGATCTCACTGGCTCAAGCCTGTCCAGTCTTTCACACAAACAATTGTATGATCAGAGTTTTGATTTTTTTTTTTTCTCCTGAGCTCAGCTGGACAGGATAGAATAACTGATCTCATTCTTTTCATTACTTTCATTTCATTCCTTTTTCATTTCTTTCTTACACAGGGAAGGACGTGCAGCTCTCGTTACCTCCTTTTGCATGTTTAAGTACATGGCTCTGTACAGCATGATTCAGTATGTTGGTGTTCTGCTGCTCTACTGGGTATGACTTGGGACTTGGCCTCTTGGTTAGTGAGAACTAAAACGAGTGGCGGTGCACTCTTAATTTGCAAAGCCTCTTAAAGAAAGGGTCGGGATCGGACACCCGAGCAATAACAGCCCCTCTAAAAATATCCTTAAGGATCTTTAAAGTATATTGGAAATAGACAGATGTACACAGGAAAATTTGTTGGTGTCGATTCTCTGATATAGAAACTTTTTATCTAGTGGTAGCAGAGGATCAGAACTTAATATATCACTTTCTCTGTTGCTGTTGCTTTTGCCTGCTTAGGCCAGGTCTCTGTCTTCCCAATTCCAGTGTTGCTCTGCCCTAGTGTAGCATTCCTTAAAGAGATGATTCTCTGTACTGGGGTTCTGGTAAGTGTTTCATAATTGACCCTCCCTGGAAAAATGAGTCCTGATCTTTAACGTTTGCCATTTCCAATGGTGTAAATACTCCTACTGTGGCCAGTTGCAAGCTACCTGTCTGAAGTCGTTGAACATGGAGTGGGGAAGAGATGTATAAGTAGCAGACCATCAGAGAGCACTTGCACCATATAGTTGCAAGAGTTGTAAATAATCTCAAGAGCATACACAACAATAAAATGTAGGAAAATAATTAGAAAGTGCTGAGCTTTGAGTATTTATGAAGTTTGTTTTAGTATAATTTATTTAACGGTTCATTTGCAGAATTTGTTTTTATATTGGCTGTGTTTAAAACCAGCTCACGGCATTCCTGAAAATTTGGCACTTGACTGTCAAGTGTTAGTACAAGCCAGCATACAACTGGTTCTCTGAATATAGGGATTTGAAAATTGGCATATCATGCCACAAAAAATACATAGATCTTGTAACGGCTTTTATTATTTAACAAGATATAAAAGGAGAAAAGATATGCCTATGGTTTGCAAACTCAACATGTGAGCATATTCTACTAACTAACACCAGGAAAGGAAATTTTATCTGTGCTAAAGATATGAAGATTCATCTCTTTATATTGCCCTTTTCACACTCACTGATGAGTGAGCTAGAGAAGGACAGGCTATTTATGAAAAGCTGACCCTGTTATGGAATCCCAAAACTGTACTCAAAAGTATAATTAAACATAGAACATCATCTCCTTACTACTAAGGGATGGAGAGCAAGGAAGCAAGTTTTTTGAAATCAGGGAGACCTGAACACTTTTTCCTCAAGAGCGTTAAGGTACTTTATTAGGACTTTCTAACATTCATCTAAAAACACTCAAGAATGCAAATAGTGGGTTTAGTTATTCTCATTTTCCATGAGTAAAATTTAGGCACAATTACCACACCTTTGTCACTTGTTACTGTTGGGGGTGCATTCCTTTATTGTGCCACACCAAATCCCAAATTTTCTGTTAACGAGTAGAAAAGAGAGCAGAGATGACTCTTGTAGAGGAAGATGTCCCCCCTCAACAAAGTAATACTAATGCACAAAGGACCAAGACCTGAAAACACATGACGGTGGCCCTCCTGATTAGAGAGGGTTTCCTGGGCTTGGCTTTGAGACTTCCACGAACACTATCACTCACCAACTCAAACAGGCCACTGGCCACAGCATCTGCTTGGTAATTTACCGGAAAAATCCTATGTTGCAGTGAGAAAACAAAAGCGATCAATATCAAACTTCATCCAGAAATCAGAACTTTTTTAAAAATTTGCTTTTCTTTTTATTTTCAGGAGACAAACAGCCTTTCAAATTACCAGTTTCTGTTCCAGGATCTGGCCATTACAACTATTATTGGGGTAACAAGTAAGATATTTTAAAAACTTTCTTGCCAGAGGTACTCCCCTCAATTGGCTTTCTTCTGCCCCAGAAATGTTTGTCTACCCTGAGGGACAGCAACAGCAGCAGAGATATGTGACTGATTCCCAAAGACGTGTACAGAGGGGGTGGGGAGAGAGAGAGAGGAAATTAGCATAGGGAAAGCTGGCTTGTTATTTTGCTGTTTTCCACAAAATACAGAGCTTCCACAAATGGTCACCAAACATTTGTGAAAAAAAGCACCTTGAAAATCAGAAACACTAACTTCAGTGTGTTTTTAAGTATAGTAATAGTTAAAATGTGCCCAATTAACAGAAGCTAAATGGCTTTTATGTTTCCCATCTCCAAATCTTAGCCTCTCAGGATTTAGAATACAGCTTAAAGGTGATCCTGCCATTTCATTATACCACTCCCACTTCCCACCTTCTAATCAGTATATGAATTGTCTCTTCAAATTCCCTGCAATGGGGATTTTTTGATATATGACTTTATTTTCTTAAGAGCTGTTTCAGGTTCATGGCAAAATTGAGACATGTCCCCTGCTCCCACACATGCATAGCACCCCCCATCACCAACGTTCCCCACCAGAGTAGCACATTGTTACAACTGATAAACCTACATTGACACATCATTGTCACCCGAAGTGCATAGTTTACATTAGGATTCATTCTTGGTCTTAGATACTGTATGGGTTTCAAGATATATTTATATAAAATGACATGTATCCATCATCATAGTATCCTACAAAGTATTTTCACTCCTCTTTGCTCTGTCTAGCCATGATTTCACCCTCCCCAAAGCCCTTGGCAACCAGTGCTTTTTTTACTTTCTCCATAGTGTTGCCTTTTCCACAATGTTATATAGATGGAATTAGATAGTATGTATGCTTTTCAGATTGGCTTTTTTCACTTAGTAATATGCATTTCAGGTCCCTCTATGTCTTTGCTTAGCTTGATAGCTCATTTCTTTTTAGTGCTGAATAATATTTCATTGTTTGGATGTACCACAATTTATTTATTCATTCACTCACTGAAGGATATCTGGCTGTTTCCAAGTTTGGGCAATTATCAATAAAACTGCTATAAACATCCATGTACAGGTTTTTGTGTGGACATAAGTTTTCATCTTCACTGAGTAAATACCAAGGAGCATGATAGCTGGATCATATAGTAAGAAAATGCTTAGTTTTTGTAAAAAACCGCTAAACTGTCTTTCAAAGTGGCTGTACTATTTTGCATTCCCATCAGCAGTGAGTTAGGGTTCCTGTTGCTCCACATCCTCACCAACATTTGGTATTGTCAATTCTGGATTTTGGCCTTTCTAGTAGATGTGTAGTGGTTCCATTTACGCTTTTACTCCTATCTCCTCAAGGATTTTGTTCCTGTAATAATCTCTTTCTCCATTATTATCGACATTTCTCTGGTCTACTGGATTATTCCTATTAGCATTTCAGTATATTCTCATATCTTCTTTCTATAAAAAACTCTCCTTGACCCCAAATCCACTGCAAATCCACTACTTCCCCCTTTATTCTCAGACTTTACAAACAGTATACCAATTTTCTCCTCTTCTCATCTAGAATTCTATTGCCATTCCATTTCCGTCAGCCAGATTCTAACATCCAAGAACATGAATTTGAATTTGCACCTATGCTGTTGTTTAGTAGGAGGCAGTGGTCTGCTTGCAAATGTTTGATAACTGGTCCCCCCCAAGAAAATCTGAAATATATATACGTATATGTATGGAAATGAGTTTATTATAAACTACTGTAAAGAAATGTGTAGTGAGCAATTTTCAAATAATACCAATATATGGCACTTTATATTGCAAATTTCGTTTAGCCAATTGATTCTCACAAAATGCTTTCATTGACTTTTACCAAACTCCTGGGTCCATAATCAACCAATAGTTGCAATTGATGACTGAATTAGTTACAACATAAATGTTTTTTGATATTTTCCTTTAGCTGAATGAGTAAGACAAAAACAAAACAAAGACTTATGTCAAAACTTCAATCATTCATCAGTGATGTAAGCAACTTATTTTTTGAAT